AATGTAGAATGTCAGAATAGACTTGTTCAATGGAGAAAGCAATATTATATTATTATATTATATTACATATTAAACAAGCAGCTTTTTGTTTCACAAGACATTAACTGATGGACTGGAGTGGTGTGGATTACTTGTGGATTATTGTGATACTTTTATCAGCTGTTTGGACTCTCATTCTGACGGCACCCATTCACTGCAGAGTGAGCAAGTGATGCAATGCTACATTTCTCCACATCTGATGAAGAAACAAACTAATCTACATCTAGGATGGCCTGAGGGTGAGCACATTTTCAGCAAATTTTCATGTTTGGGTGAACTATTCCTTTAACAGACACACAAGCAGATCTGAAATTCAAACACAGGCACCGTAACAATCTCACCAGCATGTAGATTTATTGATTTGTTTAAGGCATAATGTGTCTCAAGATACTGTAACGCTCCGGTCTGTCTGTTTCATGCAGGTGAATGGCTAGTCAGTGCCGTGCATAGATTCAAACACACAACCGTAACAGCAAAATCACTGGAGTAAAGCTCTTTTAGAGTTGGTTTTGTGAGTGAATTGAAGTTTAGGGATGTAAGGCATTATCAGTTGATTCACTCGCTCGAGTTCAATCAATCTGAGAAGAACAACACATTTAAAAGACCGATAAGTACACACACGTTACAGGACAACTAATCAACCCTTAGGATTGGAACTACAACACCCCATGATGAGTAATACAGCATGCTTTAGATCAGTGGTTCTCAGCTGGTTTTGCTTCAGGACCAGGGCCATAACCACCATAGATATTAATGGGAAAATCACACCCACTGATTAGAATTGGCGCAACGGTTTACCCCAATATTTGAAATTCGTGCACTGCTCTGCTGCTCTCCATTACACAGAGTTTGTTGAAAGTGACATTCTTAGGCCGGTCTGGCTCAGCGGTCTAATGGCTCGTTTCCAGCGAATGATACAGTCCTGTACAGTTCAGTGCAGTGCGCTTCGGGACGGTAAACCCTGATCCGGCTTGCGTTTCCACCACCAACAGTACCCTTACTTGATAGGCGTGGTGTATGCCCGGAAAGTAGCGATCGACGTCATTCTCGTGTGTGTGTGTGTGTGTGTGAAAATATAAAATTCTAATATACACTGTTATACTTTTTGTGTTTTTGCACTCTGATGTAAACAAACCCAACACGCATGAGTCATTCCCCTTGTAGCACGCGCAAGTGACGATTCTCTGTCAACCAATCAGCGTTCTGCAGTGAGTCTAGCTCCACCCTTTAGCTACCCCAATGGAAGGGTCCCAAAAAAGTGGTACGGTACGGTTCGCTATTTTTGGTACCATTCACAATTTCTGATAATGGAAACGGACATAATTGTGTACCATTCTGTACTGTACTGAACCATACCGCTTGAGCCACATCAGCTCTCATCAATGTCAAAATGACTGAGATGGCCAATCAAATCAAAGTAGGCGGGGCTTAATAGTTCATAGACGCAGAGCACATATTCCAGCCTGAATCATCAGTTTTAACCATAGACTGTATAAAAACATGGATGTAGTGTCCATGACATCACTCGTAGGTTTCTGAAGTGCGTTTTTGAAGCTCAAAGTGGGCGGAGCTGGCCATCGCCATCTTGGCAGCGCGTCATGGGACTGACTCCCTTTTGGAGCCAGCCTCTAGCGGCCAGTCGATGAACTGCAGTTTTAGTCACTTCCGTGTTGGTTTCACGAGAGAGAGCGAAAGGTTGCCGCTTGGTTTTAACATTGAAAGAATATGAGGTAAGATGGAAGTAGCTTTTAATATTTGACAACTGCTTTATGATAGAAATGTTAAATGGCCAACAGTAATATCCAGGGATGCAAACTACTTGGCTTTTTTGTTCTCAAATATTTTGAATAGAAAATATGGTAATTCCTAGCTGAATGTGACGAGACAAGAAACGTTTTGCATTTTCGACATATTAGGCGTACAAATAAAAGTGCATGTGTTTAAAATATTATTTGCAAATAGTTCAAAATGATTACTTCCCAATTAGACCAAGAATGCACATATTCTATTTTTTCATCCTTTTTTTTTTTTTAAATAAAAAATAAAATAAAATAAATAAATTGCTCCCCCCAATGTTTAAGACATGGTTACGGCCTTATTCATACAGGATTTTACATTGGATGTCAAGTAACAAAAGTACAAAAAGTAAAACAAAATATCCTTAAAAACAATCACTTAATTGAATTAATAATTTTACCATGAACTGCATAGTCCCAACCACATGCAAAATTATAAAAAATGACAGCATCATAATCTGCAACTTTCAGTGGGGATTTATATACACATTTATATAAAAATCTAAATTTAGTGAAATCAAATTTAATTTTAATACATCACTACATTTGATTTCACTATATATATATATATATATATACAGTATATTATTATTGCTATTATTATTATTATTATTATTAAAATTAATCACTAAATTTGATTAATATTGCTATTAAATTTTTTAAAAAATTTTATTGATATTATATATATATTATTATTTAGTATTCATTAGAACAGGCCGGCAGCTCATTTTTGGGTTGTGATCCACTAGCTGAGAACCACTGATTTAGATCATACTGTACGTGGATAAACTGCTGCTTATCATGGGATGGTAATAACTTTACTCTACCCACACGTCTCTCTGACGGGACTCTCGCTGAATTCGTACATTAGTACTGTCCACCTTATTTTTACTGTAAGAACCGACGCGGCCATTTGTAACAAAAATCAGCTTACTGTGTTGAAACTAAACACACAGACCTACAAACACACAAACACTGAATACTGCAATCTGCCAAACCATGCAAAATACAGTCCAACACCTCAGAACAGAAGAGCTGAGTCCTGCAGCTGAAGTCAAACACATCATGCAGTGATGAACAGAAGACGGTCAGATCTGAGGAACACAGTGATAAACCCCTCCAGGAACACTTCCAGCTTCAATGAGCCTCTCTCTAGGTGGGGCAGAGCACTGAAAAAGAGAAATCATGTTCAAATGATGCTATATATCATTAGAAATTATCAGTATTTAGAGAGCAGAGCAGTATTTACTTATATGTAATAGTAAAGGGAAAAACCAAAGGAGAATTTCTGAAGATTTTTAATGATGCTTTTTTCAGTTGATTGTAATCTATTACATACCTTTCTATCAAAGTTATCTGACATTATCAAGCTGAATTTGTTCTGACACAGTTTAACTCTGAGTTCTTGTCATATTTTATTACCATTTTCTAAACTATAGCGAATAAACTGTGATAATGTGAGAAATGTTGAAGGCGTCTGAATAAATTTTGGTTTGACTGTATCTATTTGATAAATGAAGTTAACCAACTAACATTATACACACTTTTTTGGTTTCTGTACCCAATATTTAAAAAATTTACAAATGCAATGAAAATATCGGTATCGGAACTCTGTATTGCCAAGTACCAAAAATAAAAGTATCTGTATCGGCCGAGTACTGAAAAAAGTGGTATCGGTGCATCCCTAATCTAAACGCTAATTACTCATTAACTAAACCTCTTACAAACCTCACAGACCAGAATTGGAACAAATCCTGCAAAAGAAGGAGGAGGAGGAGAAGATGATAATGATCTTAGCAGACGCCATGCAGGCAGTGAACAGCTTAAATGTAAGCGGAGCAAAATAAATCTACATTAAGATGACTTTTCATGATGATACGTTCAGTTTGCCTTTGCAGTAAAACACAATCACTATTAATTATCAGCGCTGTGAGTCAGTCAGAACTGAATTGAGAGCAAACATGATGCAGAATCATAATCCGTAAAAACTTTGGATTTGAATCTAAATCTGCAAAATTTCACAGGACCATATAGAAGCTTGTTTCTGCAATGGAATAGAAAAACGACTTTTCAACAACTCACAACTCAAAATTGTTATTTTAAATCTCAAAATTCGGATTATTCTTCTAATTTTAATTTATAAATGTGCAATTGCATGTTTGCATCTCTTAATTCTGAGAAAAAAACATGTTAGAATTGCAAGAAAGCCAATAAGCTCAACAACTTGCAATTTTGAGAAGTCAGAATTGTGAGAAATAAATTTGCAATTGCGAGAAAAAAAAAAAGACAATTACTTCATTACACCAAATACACAAAATAATGTTCTTTTTAGCAACATCATATGACCCCTTTAAACAATCCTGGCTGATATAAGTACTGCAAAAATAAGCACCTTTTCCACTGTGATATATCGGTTTTGTCATTTTTGCTCTCTTTGATGAAATGCCAATAATTGCGGAGCTGACATTATCTCTCTAATGATATCTCACCAGTACAGGGACACTTCTACACTAAGGAATACAGCTTGTTGTGTTGGACTAATGAAACTCATTCTCAGTGAAACTGTTAAAATTCCTCTTCCTGTCAATTCAATTCAACATCCTGTGTCTTGTGACTGATTCAATTTAAAATCACACTCATGAACTGAAAGAAAGCCAACAGAAAGCTGAAGGGATGATATTTTTGTGGCCAAAAAAATCCAGAAATTGTTCCAGCATCTTGAAGTCAAGGGTTTTTTTCATTGGGTTTTTGATTAAATGAATAAAATGTGACCCTGGACCACAAAACCAGTCATAAGTGTCATTTTTTTTTAAATTGAGATTTATACATCATATAATGTATAATTATACAAATAAGCTTTCCATTGATGTATGGTTTGTTGGGATAAGACAATGTTTGGCCGAGATACAACTATTTGAAAATCTGGAATCTGAGGGTGCAAAAAAATCTAAATACTGAGAAAATCGCCTTTAAAGTTGTCCAAATGAAGTTCTTAGCAATGCATATCACTAATCAAAAATTAAGTTTTAATATATCTACAGTAGGAAATTGACAAAATATCTTTATGGAACATGATCTTTACTTAATATCCTAATGATTTTTGGCATAAAAAAAAATAAATCGATAATTTTGACCCATACAATGTATTTTTGGCTATTGCTACAAATATACCCCAGCGACTTAAGACTGCTTTTGTGGTCCAGGGTCACAAATAATGTCTGTGTTGAACACAAGCTCAAGATATTTTCACGTTTTATTCTACTACATAAAACACACGAGTAACACCTGATGTGATTTTTTGATGCTTTTACTTGTTTTGAAAGAATCATAAACGTTTGTTGGTCACAGAGCTCATTTTCTGCAGTAATCCAAAACTCAATGGAAAAATCCTATTGGATTTTTGTCGAGGGAACCAGGATGATGTGAACTTACAGTTGGCCTATAAAACACGTCATCACTGCAGAACTCTATTCTTAAACTGAATGCTTTTCATTCGTTGATTGCTGTTACCTTTGAGGATGTAGTCGGTGAGGAGACTTGGGACTTTATCGCCGTCATCTCTCATGGCTTCTAAAACTGTAGCACAAGCAAATCATGATTTACAGCACGTATATACTACTAACAACCTTTAGCAGAAAACAACAACAGGGTATTCGTGTTAAATAAAAGCACTCACTTTTGGTAAAAATCTGAAGGTCTTGGAGTGATGGCGGCCCGTGTTTCCTCTCGTAAGGGATGACTGTTGTTACACACTGAATAAAAGATGAGCACAGATGAGAGAGGCTAAAGATGCCAGACAGACATGGGATGTGTCTCAAAACATCTGCACAGTCTTGAAAAAACTACTTATACCTTTTTTAAAATGTATAATCTCATTATACAATATATTTCTGCAACCACAGTAGTATTTTGGGGTGCAAAAATAAATAAATAAAGGATCCCTACTAGGGTGACCACATGAAACCTGAACAGATACATTTACCTGAAATACAACTAAGTAACCTAAACACCCTAAAGTAAATAACTGAGACAAAGCATATGACAGTTCAATATTCACAAAAACAAAAAGTTTTATAAAATGATAAACTTTACATTTCAGCCTTTAAACCATTTTTAAGAAAATGGATGAGTCAAAAGTATTAATTATTATATTAATTTAAACAATTATTATCAATAAATTATTATACCAATTAAATAACATAAATTAGGGATGTGCGATATTGACAAAAAATGATATCTCGATAATTTTCTGGGATTATATCGATGACGATAATTAGACAATATTTTGCTATAGAGTGTGTTATTGTGCTGATATCTTATCTCTAATTGTGCTGACAGCTGAATCATTAATTTTTTGATATTCTTCATATTCTGTATGGTCAGTTCACAGCAGTGATAGAAATGAATAATTTCCAATAAGTTTTATGGGCATTTTTACCTTTAAGCCATTTTTTCTAAAAGTGTGCACCATCTTTTGAGTCAAATTCTTGCATTTGGG